GCAGCCTTACCACCGATTTCATTGATTCGCGCACGCCGTACGAGCCGCGAAGTTGTCGATTCTCTTCCGTCAATCATACAGGTTTTAGGTCGTAATGTGGGTGTTCTATTCCAATAAAATAAATAAATAAAAAACACTGGATATCCCAAGCACAGAGAGCGTTTGTAGTCGTATTAATATCAATAAAAATGGTGGTAAAGACTAGGTAGCTATTATAAGTAATAAGTATGCTTTAAGAAAAGGTGAGAAGGAGAAAAAATACAAATATCAAACAAGTGAATCTTTATGTAAGAACCAAACAACAATAAAGTCTATACTACAAACTCAATTTAGTATTAAACTGTTAAGGAAAGTTAAATATATCTCAATAACCATGGTTCACTATAAAAGATGATTGCTCTCAATCACTCAAAATGTCAGTTTCACAGTCACTTGATTCTGCAGATAGCTCCCACTCTTCTTCAAAACGGACAAATATGTCTTCGCCCTCTACTAATTGGTTACGTGGATCGTTAAGCTCCTCTCTTCCTGGCAGGAAGAGTAACATGTTATCGTATAACACCGTTCCCATTTCTTCTGGTCGATCTATGTACGCTCGAATGGCAGGATGAACCAAGAAGTCATAGTGATGCGTTGCTGTTACATGTTTCACAACAGTAAGAGTTATCAGATACCTCAGATCGTGAATATCTGCATCATTAGTCTCACTAGGTACAAACTCAATCATAAATGATTCGTAGTGTTGCTTGCAGATGTCTCTCAGATCAATGAAAACTTCCATGAATGATATCTTCATATAACTTAACTTTACATGCAATTTATTACCTGAGAGAGAAGGAATTTTAGATGGCGGCTCGAGAGGATCACTGCTATCACTGCTATCACTGCTAGTATCAACAGTACCGGAATTACATTCACTATAAATGCAAAACAGCACAATACTAGAATACTTAATTGTTGGCAAAATTACGGAATATAAACATGTACTATAACTTACCGTTTTTTGAAAAAGAAATTACTAATAGAACGCTGCATTTCTAAGAATTAAAAAAATGGTGTCCACGTTATCTGAACGTGATGAAAACGAACGCTGATAAAATGTACTGCAGGCACTCGTAGGCACAGGTAGCCCATTGTTTTTGATGCTGGAGGGGGGTTCCGTGGAACCCTTAGAACCCCCCCTGGATCCGCCACTGTGAATCTGTGTGTCTGTCTGACAGCGGACTATCGCGAGGTGAGTGAACTAGTTTCTTTTGACGTCATCAGTGATTCACAAAGGTATCCCGACTAGTTTCCGCGATCAAAGCTGTTCATACAGGAATCCTGAATACTGATGTTAGCCAATCAGAATCGAGCTTTGATTTGTACAAGGGAGGAGTAGGACCTTACCAGAAACTAGTCAGAAACCAGTCGAATCCAGTAACTACCCTACCCTGGTAAGGTTTTATGACAGTATCTTTGGCAAACTTTGTGTCATTCAGTTAGCAACGGATTTTGAGGGAAATTGTTTGAAATAATTACCTATAACAATTCTAAGCAAATCGAAAAAGGATTGAGGCCACAATTGCTTCCAAAACTGTTTGAATCTGTTATTTTTGTGTCGGAATGTGGTCAAGCCACTCGTGAAACCGTTCAAG